AGAGAGAGAGAGAGAGAGAGAGAGAGAGAGAGAGAGAGAGAGAGAGAGAGAGAGAGAGCTGGGAGGAATGGCAGGGCTAACTCCCAACAAGTCTTTGATCAGACAGAGCAATCAGAATGGGAAGAATATTGCGATGGACCAGTCTGTATCTGAATGGAAGATTCTTCTGAAGGAAGGTAGGTGAATTCCCCAGTGTGATTGAGCTCATTGGGGATCACTGAGCATTGTCCTTTGCTCACCTTGAAAGGGCAGATGGTATAGAAGAGAGGGTGATACTTTTTTCCCATCAGCAACGATGAGAACGAGAGTTCTGCATCCACTTTGGCTTCTATCTGTTTTTTCAATCTTGTTGTAACTTGTGAGCTAGTTGCCTGGAACAGACTAGTTGGTTTAGGGACCTAACAGATGGAGGATCTTGCTGAGAGTGGGAATTTGGAAGCAGAGTATTGAGCCTAGGTTTAAGCGAAAAAATATATATCACCAACAATTTACAATTTTATGAAAATGAGTGCCCTTTGTTTGTTTGTTTGCTGTGTTTTTACGCCAGGGCGGAGGTCCCCACAAAATACGTAACCCCGAAGCCGCTGACATTTAAKTGCCCATTTGCATGAAAATTCAAAATACGTAGCCCTTGCSACCAAAAAAATCATCTACAATTTACTATTTTATGAAAATGCTAGTGTGAGTATGCCCTTAGTTTGTTTGTCTGCTGTGTTTTTACGCCAAGTCCTGCCACACAGAAACCGGCAAAATTGAAAGTTCATTTTCACCACACAACCTTTCGAAACCGGMAAAATCRAAACTTCGAAAGTTMATTTTCTCTGCATAGCAACCAACAACATCAACAAAGGTCCTGCCAATGCTGGCTTTGGGAGCCAACGGCCTGTGGGGTTGGCGGTGGGTAGGGGGAGGTGCAGTGACTGGCTATTGCTCTTGCACCACTGCTGTGGTGCCAACCTRCCCCATGGGCTAGGGAGAGATCCGGGTTGGTTGGTGTTTCCCCGTACTATACATAGACTAGCGAGAAATGAGATAGATGAGTACTGGCAAGAAGATGAGATAGATGAGAGAAAAATATAGCTTACTTCAGAAGAAAAAAAACGAGTTCCCGGCCGCCAACCAAAAAAGAGAAGATAGCCATGTTTGACAATGATTTTTTAGCCATCTTTCCAGAGATCTTTCTTATAAATGCCACTATCTTATTACTTATCTATGGAGTGATTTTGAGCACTTCAAAAAAATATGATTATCCACCATTAGTGCGTAATGTGGGATGGTTGGGTTTACTGAGTGTTTTGATGACAATTCTATTGCTGATCAATAATTCATTTTCACCACACAGCCTTTCAAACCATGGGCTCCGGAAAACCATTCAAAAGGTTTCTGGCCACTCAGCCTCGAAAAGAGTTTCGAGATGGCACGATCCTCCTGCTTGGCACACTCCTTTTTCAAAAGTCCCCTGGAGGTCTTGCGGAAAAAGGGCGTCTTGAGGTCCATCTTCCAGGGTCTCTCTACCTTGACGACAACCAATTTTCAGAAAGTTCCTGCGGCAAAAGGTTGTGGCCCTTGTGGGCTTCTAAAAGTTTGTCTGTGTGGCGAAGGCGGGCTTTATTTCAAACCCCCACCTTTCCAAGAGTTCCTGACATATTTCGGAAAATGTCTGCCTTCGAAAGGTTGTGTGGCGAGCCCCTCAAACACTGTGGGATTGAACCATGACAGCACGATATCAGCCGATGAAAACGTGAAGACGCGTGGCAGCTGCTTTGAGACTGGAGGGTCAGAAGCGTGGCAGTGGTGGCCCGCAGAGGGACAGTCGACTGGTACCGGGCTACAGGCGCCTGTGGCGTTCTGTTGCCTAGTTCCGATCGTGTCCTAACTCGTTCCCACTGAGCGAGATGGTCGGCTTGTTGGGAAAGAGTGGGAAGAGAGAGAGAGAGAGAGAATAGAGAGTACAACAATACACGCCGTTGTGCCCGGTTAGCCCTGCGGCATCTCACCAACAGCTCGATTCCATCAAAAAGCCTTTCGTTATTGAATGAATGAAAGAGCGCACGCAGGTGTGCGTCATGAAGCTCACAACATAGTCTGATAGAAATCGCCTCCGGGATGCGTCGTGAAGACCTAGACTAGTGATGGAGGTCGCAGCGTCCTACTACCCCCATCCTAGCGAAGTGTCCGACTAGTTTCTGCTGGCAACAGACCAGCGTCGTCAGGGGCAAAGTGCGAAAGGTGATGTGCCGAACTGTTCTGTGTCGGTCCTATAGATACTTCTTCGCTCGTGTGTCCGAGCCGTAGTTAACACCTGAGCCCCGAAAAAAGTCGTGTGTAGTCCTTAAGTCCTTGTTCGCAGTTCCCGCCTAAATTCCAAAAAAAAATTGTTAAGTCATCGAAAGATAATAAAATAACAATAAAAATAATAACGATAAAATAAATCTGAACTCCATTCCTGCGGTGCGCGTGGGCGCGTTTCCACGCGGGTCCAGGTGCCTTGAGCGCCAATCGTTGCTTCGTACCACCCAGTTCGAAAATGGCCATCTTTCCTTCAAATTCGAATTCAAAAGAACTCTGTCTCTACTGGTAATCGTCCCAGTCGCACAAGACCTCGGTCCATCTTTGCCACACATCATCCTTTCGTTTCGAAAATTTCTTGAGCTCGTCGTCGAAGGCGCGAGCGGGAAAACCTCTTTTCCATAACTCTATTTTCGTTGCGAGGAGGGTGGGTCCCGCCGTGGACTTGTCTAGGGTGTGGTCCCATATCCTGCTTAAACACCCTGTGATGACCGCCCTCTTGGTACTTCTGGCGGTGTATGATCTGTAATCTTGCAATCCCTGGAACACTAGTGGGCCACCRCTGAGAAGACTTGGTCCATTTGCCGTTCTGGCCGTGCAGCTCAYCTCCGATGGGTACATCCTCACCTCCATGGTACATCCCAGAAATACCCATGCGGCTGCCGCTTCGTYCGTCYGGACCAGAGTGAGATCCTCGTGGTAACATTGCTGGAACTGGTGCATGATCTCAGTGGCTCTCGTTAGGCTCATTTCGTGGTTGATCCTGAAGCTTACGAAAACAGAAACGTCGTCGACCAGTCTRCATCCCTGTACCAATCTACGATCTTTCCCGAGCGAAGACAAAAAAMCGCATTCATAAAATGCGCACAAKAGACAAGCGATTGYAGGGCTGCTACTCTTTCCCATCGRAATACCTACAACTTGTTGCAATCGTTTTGCAATGTTTCTTAGGGACACGGATTGCCATCCTACTTCTCCGTCCGCCTTTCCAAAAGTTGCACCTTTCCCTTTGAGCTTGACTCTGACCCTACTCACTCCCTCGTTCTCGTAAAAATCTACGACCCAGTGTATTGCCGACATAATTGCCCCGTGGGGGAGTTTCACAAACATGTCCTTGATATCGAAGCTTGCTGCTAACATTCCCCACTTCTCACCTTTYTGTACTGACTTGTTCGTGCCCTCCACTGCTTCCAGTAGYTGTCGCGTACTCTTCAAGTTGAAGTTCGAGTGCTTGGGTAGAGACCACAATAGGTGGTTGATTGCCTTGCCTGTGAGCTTGCTCATTCTCCCGCTTGCTTCGCTGTAGGACGGGCAGATTGGTCTCCATCTGGTCGTGTCGTTGTGCTTTGGAATGACGTACGCTTTTCCTAGTTCTCCATGATTGTTCCATTTGGCGATGCGATGGTACCCTTCCTTGTAGTATCCTTCCTTGCATTTGGTGTGGTACCCTTCCTTGTAGTATCCTTCCTCGTTAATGTTCTTGAAACCTCCATTCTGTACGAACATAGTCTCGATGGTGGTCCCGTAGGTTCTTGGGCAGCAGACCATTGTGTTGCCATGGTTATCATCTACTGGCATGATCACCATTCCCCGTAGTCTCTTCTTCATATCAGCTACCTCGCGAACTTGAATTCCTTGTGTCATCTCATTCTCATTCCAACACTCGGTCATCTCCTTCCCTTTGCAGGGGCGTGACATTTGTATCCCTCGTGTTATCTTGTTCTCCTTCCAACACTGGGTCATCTCCTTCCCTTTGCTTGGGTGTGACATGTGAAAGAAAGCTTCAAAAGCATCGTTCAGTTGCGTTGCCAGCCGTCGTCCGTCCGGTTTCCTTGGTACCGGTATGTTTCTGGAATTCTTCATGAGTTGTGAAACTCCGTCTAGTTCTGAGAATCGGAAACTAATGTGCCCCTTGTTGTCTTTCGGGAGAACGGCTTGTTGACACGGGCAAGGACACTCGTTTTGCGCCTTCCTTGCCATCATACGATGGTTACGAAGTATCTGCCCGATTGACTTCGGCCCGGTCCATACCAATCTCATGCGTCTGCAAATAAATTCGGCGACCGTTGGGCTCACGCAAATTTGTCTGATTTTCCCCTTGCAATACTTACTGACCTCTTGCATCCTCACACCTTCCTCATATTCGATCCTAACAACCAGTCTTCTCCTTATATTAATCTTAAACCTGGACCTGATCGTTCGTGTCAAAACTCCGCGTAGAACAGCCCGGTCCCTTTTTACCTGAAATAGTATGATGCCATAGTATAGTCTGACAAGCCTATCTATCGAGAAACTCTTGTCGTACAGGGTTCTTCGATAGACGGGGATCCGCAACAACGCGGTCAACAATTCGAATCCTTCCCTGTTCTGTCGATATGTTACCCTGAGTATATTGCACGTAAGGCCTCGTACTTCTTTGAGCTTGATATCTCTCACGAATTCCGTGCATTCGCCTACGCGAATCTCGGAGAAACCAAAAACCCGCTTTATAATGGACCACTTTTCGCACCACCGGTTCCCTTTCCCAAAACTGATCGACCCCTTGCCTCCGCTATCACGAATCTGTTGTAATACCCCAGATACTAAGAAAAAGATTTTATTTTCGAACTGCAGGCTCATGGGTGCAGCTACCTGCCTCTCCATCACACCGGAGCGTACTGCCCTTGTTTCTCTCCTACCCCGCCTGCTCTTTTTGCCTCTACGTGCTGGTTTCCTAGCGTTTAGGCCTGGGCAAAAACTTCGAATATAGAACTGTTCTACCTTCTCTAACTCGTGCTTGTTGCATATGGCTATCGGTATGGCCACGTAGTCTCGCCATCCTTTCTTGTGAAGCCATCGGTGTACCCTGTACTTCTGTCTCCCGACTGTTGTTTCGGCGGCGCGACTGTGCTCATCCCATCGTTYGTTCAACGCTCTCCCTGTTTGTCCGATATATACTGCGCGGTAGTACGGTGATACAAGTGCATACACGCAGCATTCAGGGTTCCGGAACCAACCGTGATCGTGGGTCTGCCATYCRGACGCGCTGTCGGAGAACTTGTGGAGCCAAGACATGTGAGATGATTTTGCCAGCTCGGTGATCCTCGTTCTTAGCTTGTACTCGATCTMTGTTCTCTCTTCCTTGCTCCCGTTCTTCCGCTTCGGGTCCCTGCTCTCCTTTCGGAACAGTGCGATAGGTCCCGTCCTTCGTCATCATTCGTTTTCTTCGTTTCCGTTTGCCGTCGGATTTACTTGTTCAWTGATCCTCACAGGTTCGGYGCACGCCCGATTGTCGTATGCATTGATGGCCCGTTGTTCGGCCAGCGCGTCGATCATGTCTYSTTTGCGCCAGCTTGTGGGCTTCAATTTCTYRTCCTTGCATATTTTTTSTAATTGCTTCACGTTCTTGTTTCTCAGATGTCTTCTCGTGTCTTCCAGGTACTGAAGTCGGTCTTCCGGTCCTGGTGCTGCTACCGCGGCCTTTCTTCCTGGTATGATGCGGTCGGGTGTTCTGGCCCTGCTGCAGTTTCGTCGTCGAGCTG